ATCAGCTGACTGCTGGTGGCTGCTCATCATGCTGAGCAGGCAGAGTGGGTGGAAGGCATCCAGGAGCTGGAGCTGGAGCTGGAGCCCCACACACTGGTGGGGGGTGGTGTGCTGTCCAGCTCCAGCTCCCCTCCACCCCACCTGGAGTGGTGCAGCAGGGGCAGAAGCAGGGGAGGCCACTGGAGGGGTGGGGAGCCAAGCTGTATTTGGGCAGCTGCATCCACACTGAGAGCAGCCCCATTGAAAAGCTGGGCATGCTAATCAGGGGTGCGGCTGGGGCCAGTGGCGGTGCTGGAGGCAGGAGTGCGGTGCTGGCTGTTCCGGGTGGTGCTCAGCCCTATGCGGAGTGCCACAGGGGCAGCTGCTGGCAGGATCCAATCAATTGGTGGGTGCCTCCCTGCGGGATGGATCCACCATTCAATTGGAGGGCTGGATCCAGTCTGCAGGCCATATTTTGCCCCTCCCCCCTGGTTTACATCCTTGTAAATTTTCTAATTTTAGTGATAACCACCTTATTATTGTTTATTTCCATTTTTGTTATTTATTTATTTATTTATTTATTCATAGCTGCATTTGGAAAAACCTATACAAATGACCATTCAGTGCCTCGTGGATTGCATTGTGAATTGTCAGCTTTCCAAGTGGTCAGCCTGGTCACAATGTTCACACACTTGTGGTGTTGGAGGTAAGTGCTTTTCCAAGACTGTTTTTACCATTTTTCTCTCAAAGACTTACTGTGTGATAAAGAATGTTAATAAGACCCCATCCTGCAAATATTTATGCGGATCCTTCAGAACAGGTAAAAAGAAACATACATTTATCTGCAAACTTAAGAAGGGCTGGAATTGCTTCAATATGTAGTAAATCCTCAGAATATTATTTGGATTTTTTTTTTTTACGTGTTTCATAACAATCCCATGAGGACTTTTCTATGGTGGTGTTGGATTTTTTTCATAATTCTTTTTTTTTAATTTAATTAAAATGTGTCAGGCTATTTTTTGAATTATCCAAATATGAAAAATGTGATATAAGAAGCAGACAGACACATACAGCAAGGATCATTTACTAATTTGTTCCGAAATCTGTAAATTCAGCTACTGGAGAAAAAATCCCAAACTTTTCTTCAACATAGAACCAGGTAAAATAAATGTAACCTGAAAGATAAAGCTAGTGAGACTTGTAAATTTTGTTTGGTTTTTTTAAATTGATACTTCCTACTCTTTTCTGTACTTCAGAACTCAAAATATCAGCACAGTTGTGTCTATAGTAACTAAAATAATAATTTTTTATGTTATAGAAAAGATCTGTAAATATTCTGCCTTCTTTAGGATATGCTTAGACCCTTACTTCGTCACTGGGGTTCTGTACAGGTATATGCAGTTGAGTATGTATCTTGTACAGAGAAATGAATGGCATTATGACTATTAGTTTTGAATGTTTTTTTTTTTTTAAATTCTTGCAGTTCTGAATTTAAAAGAAGTATTTTAGGTTTTCTTCAAAATACATCTATGATATTACTTTCCAAGCTTTGGTGTGCTTTGGAATTACAACACAGTTTCTAATTGTCCTAAAGATTTCAAGGTCCGTAGTGTTATTTTGAATCAAATTTATTTGAGGACAAAGGAAGAATGGATTCTCAGCTTCTATGGAAGCATCCTTTCAGACGGATTTCAGAGATCAAAGCATGTAACAGAAACTATCAAAGAGCTTAATATTCAGATTAATCACGTTCTTTGTCTGTTGAGCTTTCATCAGTTCAGTAAAACAGTGCTCCCTAAACTTAACATAAATGAATAATGCATAAATATTATTTAATAGCCACCAGCCATTAAGAAACTATTAATTTGAAGCTGAATTTTTCCTCCCTTTTTAAAACCTTTCTAAGGGTATTAATGTTCATGTTATTAGAAAAAATACAATCATTTGACAGTGCACAGTGGCTTACTAGGATAAGATGAGTCACTCCTACATATCATCAAAAGCCAGTCATTGCTTCCTCCTGGCTTCCACTATGCAAGGGGTTACCAAAAAAGGATGCAAATACCCCAAATACTGTACAGTAGCAAAAAGTTTTCTCTCTTGTATATGTGCGGGCCGGCTCCCGGTCCCGTCCTCACCGGGCGCGAGCCGGGCCCGTCTGTGTGCATGCAGGCTGTGGCCGGCAGCCCGGGCACGCGGGGCTGGAGAAAAGTCGCGGGGTGGAGGAGTACGCTCGAGCTAGAATCAGTCACGGAGGCGTAATGGTTGATTGAAAAGATTATTTACTTACACCGGAGATGGTCGCGGTGTAGGCTGGCCAGCTTTCCAGGCACAGCTCCACTTCCTTCCTCATTGGAGGACTCTGATAAACTCGGTTCCTTGACCCCAGAGCGGTTTAGGCTCCGCGGGTTTAGCAATTCTTTTCTCGGTCCTTTTCTCACGGAGCAGCTGTATCTCCATGGGGTCTTGTTCAGTACCCAAGTCCCCTGGAGCTGTTAAGACTCCATGGGTTCAAAAATGGGGTTGCAGGATAGGGATACGTCTGGACTGCGATCAGTGATGGGGAGAGGCTAGAGGCCGTCGGTGAGTGGTGCCCCGGAGTTTGCTAGGCTCCGGGGGTTCGGCAATTGGAGCCTCTATCGCCTTCTTAAGAAAGGCGCGCTGGGTTCGGAAGGACCCACAGCACTTAGAGATCTGTCTCTCTGTCTCTCCCTCCGTCTCTCTCCGTCTTTCTCTCCAACTTGGGCGGAAACCACCCAAGCCTTTTGTACAGCTAGCAAGCCAATCGGGAAACACTTTTCTGCACGCAGGTTCTCCATAACAACAGAACACTCCGTCGTGCAAAAGAGCTCCAATTCGGCGGGAACATAATTTAGCGGTGCCGAAGCGCACACAATTAAAAAATCCACAACTTTGGGTTGTGACAGTATATACCCTCTGTACCTTGCACAGGTAGTAAAGGGAACTGCTGTCAACAGAAAGGTATGTTGAAATTTAGTTTTACGTATTTGGCACACTTGAGTTTCCTTAGACTCTTGAGAACCAAAAAAGTTACTTCACCCGTAGACCAGGAATTTGGTTCCTCCTCTACAGGATTCTTAAGTCAATTCTTAAGTCACTGGAAGCTAATTAAAAGTGAGAGGACCAGGAACTTTGAGCCCTTAGCTAATCAGCTAGGATTCTAAAGGTATTTTTGGCTCCAACCCTCACCAAGGATAATCACTTCATTACATCTGTATACCTCCATTCAGTATATGTTATGAGCCCTCCATATTTTTCACATACAACACGCACCCTTTCCCCCAAAAAACAGCTGCTGGAAATTGCTGTGTACATTGTATTTAGGAAATATGATAAGAGAAGTTTCTTCCTTACCACCTAAAAATAAAAAATATTATCTGCAGTGTCTCACAGGGAAGAGAACAACGGATAGCAGCTCCTTAACCATTGCTACAAAGGGCGCTGACAGACGTGATGGTTTGTCATGCGATTAGCCAGTGGGGACAGAAGTTACACACAAACCGGTTTAAGTGATCAGAAACTGGTTTAAACCTGTAACAGAACAGAAGTTCAGTGCATATAAACCAGTTTCAAAATGACTGAAACTGGTTTAAGATAAACCTGGTTGAATGTAGTATCAGACTTAGCTGATTTGGGTCAAACCAGTTTATGGAACTTCTGTCCCAAACTGCTTCCTGGTTCAAGTTAAATCAGAGTCCCCCAGGATCCCAGCATACTCTGCAACCCTGTGCTGGGCTGTGTTGTGCTGTCTGCTCTAGCAGAGCAAGGCTGGCTCCACCCCTCTGATCTTTAGACAGAGCAGGGGTGGGGGCATGGCCAGACGCAGGCCCCCACAAAGTGAAGGGGGTAGGGAAGAATTTTATTCCCCCCTGCCTCCCCTGTCCCACCAGCATGGTCCCCAGCCAGAGTCTTCCAGGCAGGGGCACAGTAACTGCTGTCGGGCATTTTGCCCTGCCTGCCACTCAAATGGTGCGGGGTGTGGCCAGCTCCAACAGCAGTGTGAAGTGAATGGAGATGAAGGGGGATTTAATTCTCCCTCAGTGCCCTGTCCCACTGGCATGATCCTGATCCCTGGCAGCTGCCCTCTTCACCTCAGGGGGCCACGCTGGCTGGCATCTTGCCAAGCCCCCACCCCTGCCAATGAACTGGTGAGGCGGGAGGGACTCTAATGGGGCAGCAGCCCCTAGATGGTGTCTGAGAGAGCTCTAGCTCCCCCCGACTTCTAGCTTGAGCCACTGCAGGCATGTGGCTGCATTTCTGGAATCAAAAGTGAATGTCTATTTACTTGCAAATCGGTTCAATCCATGCAGATTAGACTAACCTGCAAAGATTGAATCAATTCATGCTCAGGCATCTTGAATGTCTGTACTTAACCTGAAAGCACTCTACAGCTGTTCACTGACAGATGCACCTTTTTTAACATCTGTCAGCATGTGCTGGGAGCAGAGCTGGGCTGATTTGGGGTTTATAAACAGAACTTGCTGAGAAAGAATCAATATGGCTTTTGTAAAAGGAGGTCATGTCTCACCTGCTTCAGTTTTCTAAGGGCATCAACAAACACTTGGATCCTGGTGACATGACTGATATATTGTACCTGGGCTTTCACAAAGTTTTTGACAGAGTCCTGCAGCAAAGGCTCTTAATGAAATTAGGTTTGTCATGAAATTAGAGGCAAGGTCTACTCATAGATCAGTAACTAGTTACAGGATAGAAAATAAAGAATGGGCATAAACAATGTGTTCTCACAATGGAGGGAGTGAAACAGTAGGGTCTCCCAGGGGTCTGTGCTGGGGCTTGTGTTGTTTAATATATTCAGAAATGATTTGCAAAGGAGGGTGAATAGCAAGGTACCAGCTTTGTGGATGACACCTAATTATTCAGGGGAGCAAAAAACAGAGCCGACTGAAGAAATGCAGAAGGATCTTGTGAAACTGGGTGAACAGACAACAAAATAGCAAATGAAGTTTAGCGTTGATAAGTGTGAAATGATGTACGGGGGGAAAAATAACTCAAGATGCACATACAAAATGATAGGCTGTACGTTTGTTGTTGTTATTCATGAAAAATCTTGGGATTATTGTGAGTAGTTCACTCCACTGTTCAGACCCAGTCATAAAAATGGCAAACAGATTGTTAGGAATGATTAAAAAGGGAATTGAAAATGCAACAGAAAATGTCACTATTCTGCTGTACAAATAAATGGTACACTCTCACCTTGAATACTGCAGGCAGTTTTGGTCTTCCCACCTTAAAAAGGATATTGCATAGGTCGAAAACATACAGAGAAAGGCAGCAGGGGGTGATCAAAGGTATTGAAAGGCTTCCGTGTAACAAAAGACTAAATAGGTTAGGACTTCACAGCTTTGAGAAAAGACAACTGGCTTGATGGGGTGGAGGGAGTGGATTTGATAGAGGTTTATAAAAAAACGGATGACTTTGAGAAATTAAATAAGGATTTGCTCTTTGCCATCTCTCAGATTGCTATAACTAGGGCACATAAAATAAAACGATTAGAAAGCAGATTTAAAACAAACAAAAGGAAGTACTTTTTAACACGTTGTGTAATTACCTTGTAGAGCTCATTGCCATAAGGTGTGTTGTAGAGGCTAGCGGCTTAACTGGGTTCAAAAGAGGATTAGATAAATTCATGCAAGAAAGACATGATTCTTGTGTTAATACCAGTTG